ATATCACTTTGCTGGGAATTTCTCTACTAGTCTCTCTCTTGCAGAAAAACTTATATAGGCATTTAACACAAACTGCCAAGACAACAGAGGAAAGAACCGAGGAAAAGAACAAAAAAGACAAAGAACGAACTGAAAAACAGTTTTGGATTATTATTGACACTCCAAAAACTAAATCCATTCAATATTTAATATTGGATAGTGTGTGAGTTTGTATGTTTATGCGTGAGTGTTTCTGTATGAGGTACAAGATAGTAAGTGTAGCAAGATGAGAAAAGAGTTTCTCCTCTTTTCATTAAGTAAACTAGAAAGAATTTATACAGTTATGAGAAGCTCTTTGTGTTCATTTCATGTCGTGCTTTTTTTCAACACATTCCCTCCTCTTCTGATGTAAAATGGCAGAATGACAGTGAGAGCTGTTTGCAAGTTAGATGACATCTCGCCTATCACAATATTCTGGGATAGAAATAGGGGAATGATAACATACTTGGAAGAATCTCTGGTATCCCTGAAGACGTTATAGCTAGCCCCAGTATTGTAAGAAAGATCACATTTTTTTTTAACTTGGGTCTCTTTAATTAGGAATGCATGAATTTTTCTCAAATAGGGTAACACGTAGTCATTGCCTTTATTATATGCAGACCAATCAACTTAGCCTGCATAGTAACCCTCAGAAGGCCTATACTAAGCCAGGAGTCCAAAAATTGGAAGCAAAAGAATTTTCAAGTCTAAACCTTTCTTGAGATCATTAGCTGGCATAAACAAAATGTTTGAGCAGTGGAGAAAACACAATTGTTCATGCTTGAATCCTCAAATGTATGCCCAAGCAACCATGCACAAATATTTGGTAGAAACAGATGAGGACTCTGGCGTCATCCCTCAACAGTCTTAAACGTGTCTACGTGAACGTCGTGGGAGGGAAAGCTAATTGGTTGGAATGACTGTGGAAACATGCAGCTGAATCCCTGTCTCCACCCCAAGCAGGACGACTTGGAAACGGGTGGGAAATCAGGGGGGCGTGGAAAACCCAAATGGAATTATGGAGAGCTATCACTTCCTAACTGGTGAGGATTTATACACCACTGCCAAGGCCAACGGATTGAAGTAATTTCATTTTTCATGCATGGCTTCTGTCCCCACAGAGACCTGAAGCAAAGAGAGAGAGTGATGAGAGAGTATAGCAGAGGGGAGAGATGAGAGGAAAGAGAAGTGGAGATGAGAAAGAGTGACTTAAAAAGGAGAAGGGAAGGCAGAGAAAAAGAGAGACAAGGAGAGGGGAGGAGAAAAGGGGGTGAATTGAGAGGGGAAGCACTTTGGCAGTCAGATGTGTAATAATTGCTTGTATTTTCTAATGCGACAGGAGAGGTATAGCAGCCTGCGTGCTGCAGTGTCTTTTTGCTTTGGCTGTACCAGAGGGTAATGACAGTACACTGAGAGTTCAACTAAGCTGCTAGCTGGATATTTGTTAGTTTGTGGGTGTTTAACGGCTAGAGTTTCTTTGAAGTAATAGCAGTCAATGCCTGCAGCTCGTTAATTATCATAGCTGTCAGCGGTAATTCACCGAGATATGTGCAAAGCATTCTGACGTTCTCCTCCTCCTATTCCCTAAAGAAAGCACACACACGTACATGCATGCACAAATAGCATTAGTAGGCTGTTATGACAGTGCGTCTCGCATTAGAGGGAAGCTGTCTATAACTGATCACATTTGTTTGATTAGAAAGACACACCTCTACCGGATTCTTCAACCAGAAAGCAGAGTATAATGTTAATGCGGATACAGAGGAAGGGAACGGGAAAAGTTCTAATAACAGCTTCGATAATGGTGACAGGTTTTTATTCTACCTGTCGTAAGAGTCAGGATGACATCTGCCTAATACTTTGTGTCCTTCCCTTGTCCTTGTTAGTTGCTCCAGCTATTTTCTCAGCAGGGCAGAATTCCTGGTGTGTCAAAAGTGTAGCTAAATTGGTTCCTTGAGTGGTGAAAGACGGCGACAACTTTGGACAGTCTTCCTCTTCTGGTGCACTCAGGCTCTTCACTGAAATAGTCAATGATTAGAAGAAAAGGGGTCGACCATTCCTGCGCGTACGCATGTGTGCGTGTGTGTGTGTATGTGTGTGTGTTTGCCTGCATACCATAGAAAGTGTATGATTGATTAATTTTGATACACCAGCTGATTTTTTGGGTTGCCATGTCGTTAATGGACAGTAATGGGTTGCTTGGAGTTTTGGACTTTATTTGGACCATGAACTGAAGAACTCCTCCAAATGAGTCCCAATTACACAGCTCTTCAGTCCAAATCACAGACCTAGCAGTGCACTTAATGCACCTATTAGTTGCCTATCTGGCAAGGAAAGCTAAACCAAAATGCAGGGCTATTTTTTAGAGAACGTTTTACTTCCCATGCCCCACAGTTATTAGATGCATTTCATCGAGTGTGCACCTTATTTTCCGCTGGCCTATTTTCTCCTCTGCAAAATGTGTTTATTGTTATGTTTCCTGTTACCTAATTACCCATCAATTACAGAGTCATACTTTCACTTTCCTACATAATAGGAAATTCAGATTTTTTTTTTTCTTCTTTTGAAGAATCTAAATTCTTCCAAACAGAATGCACAGCACTCCCTGTGGCAGCACTAATGGAATCCTTGAGTACCTAGAGGTTACTGTAGAAATGCCAAGCTTTGATATGTGTGTGTTTATAGTTATAGCACTCATGATGTGAGGAAATTATATTCCACAGCTTGATGAGCATTAGGTTTAAGAATGTAGTGGTTAAGGGGAGAGAAGCAAGGTTAAACCTTCAGGCAGGGTCATACTATAAAATATCAGTGAGTGCAGAGTCTGACACCTCAGAATCAGCTGATTTCTGTTCTGTCTTTAATATAAGTATCATTCAAGGATACCTAATATGTTGTGGACAATTTTACTTTCACAATATAAAAATAACTGTAAATATTGCAGGCAGCTGTTTTTAGCTAACAAGACTAACCCTCTGTCTGTATGTGAACCATTGCTTTGATGTCAAAGACCACATTAACACAGATACTGCATATGTTACTGTGACTTTGCTCCTTACTCCATGGAAACATTATTACTTTACTTACACTTCAATCCAGTATACTTAGCTACATCTTTAATACAATGATAGGAAGAAATGCCTGCCAACATCCAGTTGAAATTGATGCGAGCCTCCTCGGTGGTGTCAATGCAGTAACACAAAGGGCTTAAATGTTTCCTGCTTTGACTGTTACATAGCCAATGACTGCTTCTTAGATTGAATTGGAGATCTGCCATCATCCCAAGTGTCAGACACGAGAAATTAATGTGAGGTAATATAATGTTCCCACGGGTGATGAAATGTCATCTCGGTGTCAATTTCTTTTTTCTCTGATTGTGTGTCCTTGCATGTTTCCAGTGAATAATATACAATAGATGGTTTTTAAAGAACTGTATATCATAAATCCTTGAATAATAAACACCTCACACTCAATACTGTACAAATAGAAGTAGGTTGCCAATGGAAACTATGTTTTTTGAGTGTAGCTTCCTGGATCCAAGAGAGAAATAAAGCCATAAAATAAATCAGGTTAAAGAAGCTGCAGAGATTAATAAAATGTAGTGTGTAGCTGGGATTGACTGAGCATTCCTTTTTCTTTGTTGGGATGCAGATTCGTTCCGACCAGGACCAGGACATCTCAATCCGGTACAGCATCACTGGGGTGGGAGCAGATCAACCACCAAATGAAGTATTCAGTATCGACCCTGTGCTTGGAAAGATGTTTGTCACCAAACCTCTTGATCGAGAACATCGCTCTTCATATCACGTGAGTGTCTTCTCCACACAAAATTGTGATTAATTGATATCCAGTTTGCACTTTTTCTTTACATGCAACATTATTGGGTAATAATATTGGTAATTCATCAAAGTCACATCCAGTCAAATTACTGTTCTCATGGCATGGTAACAGTAGCACATGACAGACTCACAGAAAGATGGAAATACCTGAACATTTAAGAATAGAAAGTAACACTTACTGCCCATTTAATTAGGTATACCTGATCAACTTCTTGTCAGCAGTTCTCGGGGCCAAAATGCCTTGTTGATCCCAAAGGTCACGGGATAATGGCCAGACTAATTCAAGTTGACAGGAAGGCAACAGTTATTCAAATAAGAACCAAGGTATGCAGAAGAGCATCTTTGAATGCACAATACTTCAAACCTTGAAGCAGATGAGCTAAAGCATAGATGACCCCAACACGTCTGTCAGCTAAGAACAGGAAACTGAGGCTACAGTTCACCACAACCAGACAGTAAAAATGACAAAACCATGTCTGATCTGATAAGTCTTGGTTTCTGCTGCAACATTCAGTTGTTAGGGTCAGAATTTGCCTTGCTTCAACCCTAAGTACCAACTGACTGACATCTGATGGCTGCTTTCAGCAAGATCAAATCATCTAAAACTGGTTTCTTGAACATGACAATGACTTCCCTGTACAAAAATAGCCTCCACAGTAAGGTTGGGTGATATGTAAAAATTTTGAAGCCAACAATTGTCAGTCCAATAACTGATGATAGGTATTATGTTTGCGCAGGCGCAGACTTTTTGATGGGCGGAGCAATGTAATCATGCACGGACTGATTTGCACATTTAGAATTTATAAGTTTTGTTTGGAGGGAATATTGGAGGGAATATTTTACCTTCTTTTCTTGTTTGTTTCAGTATTAATATAGCTACTTTTTGGATTATTCATTTATTTGAGATGCTGCAAATCGCACAAAAGATTTTACTGAGATTTTTTTTAATGTTTGCTTGAAGAGACATTTTGATTTTTAACTTACTTTTTGTTTAATTTTGTGTTTGTTGTTTGGTCGAGTGTGTATAACAGATAAACCCTGGAAGCGGCCTGTAAACACAGTTATAGTGGGAAAAGAAGCCCGTTTCTCTTTTGCTTCCCTCCCCATCATTGTGTAACACGATACTTTACCACTACTGAATGTAGAGAAAGTTAGGATCTTAGGCTTATGGTCTCTAGGAATCGACTAAGGAGCGAATGACACACAGCTAAAAGAACAGTCAACATTTATTCAAAACAAAACCAAAAACAATCATCCAACAGTTCACAACAGTTCCAATAGTCTATATTTGTCAGTCCGTGTATTCAGTTTTAGAGTTCAGAGTTCAGTGTTCAGAGTTCTTTTCAGTCTTTTCAGTTCAGGTGTGTGAGTGTGTGTGTATAGTGTTAATGTTAGTAGTACTACCCGGGTAGTGTATTGTTCTGAGATCTCATAAGCTTATCTGTCAAGAAGTAACGCAGTTGTCACTTCTAAGTAGGCTGGAAATCTTTCCTGCATCGCAGCTGGGGATCCGGAATCCTGGCTCGCAACTTTAGACTCCAACAAAAAAACCAACCTGCACAGGGCAGTGAACATATTTTACATGAATATCATATAACAACTTAATCAACACTAGTGACCAAATGTCTCTCACTCTTTGTATATAACAACTTAATGCAATCAATAATAAAATTAATCAAAGAACCTTAAAACAATTTCCACATCATACAAATTTAACTCAAATCTCATATTTTGTGAACAGCAGTCACATCAATCCAATGAATTAAGAGAATGTACGTTACTGATGCACGAGGAAAGTGCAAAACGTGGTCGCAGTACATTTTGGCCAAAGACTGCTCATATTTATCATCTCATTACAATAAATAAAACTTACCTACCAGCTTCCAAAGAAATATTTCCGATTGGTTTAAAACAGTCACAAGTGAAGAAATAAAAAGATAATACAGCACTTAAAAGGAACACATGAAATTTACATTATACAAAGCTAATGATTAGCTAACGATTAGCTTGCTATGCTAGCGCAGTTAGTCAACTCACCGGAAATGAACAAAAAACACAAAAACAGAGGTACATCGCATCAACAAAAAGTGTCCGCGTTTCCCAACAAGCGGAAGAGTAAAATCCAATTTGTGTCTTCACGCATAACCTTTTTCTTGAACAAGGATTTAAGAAAAACTCGGTGAGTAGCTCCGACCCGCATACGTAGCCTTAGCGCTATTCTCCTTCTCTATAGTTCTCAACTCAAGTTCACAAGCACTAAACAATAGTGATGTGCGATACCACTGATTTCCATTCCGATCCAATACCAAGTAATATTCAGGGTGGTATCGACGATACTGATCCGATACCGATACTTTGTACAAAAACATATTTTATTTATTGTATCTCACATTATAACGTCATAATGATTACAGGGCATCAGACACAGGACATCAGGACAGATTACTTGTTCTTATCACTTAATAATGCAGGGTTCATCATATAGAAATTAAAAAAACTGAAGTTGTGCCTATTTGAACACCTTGCCTGCCTGCAGCACTAAAGGACTCCGTGAGAGACGTCTGTCTCGCCCTAGCAGCACCTGTCCCTGTCCTCCTCTTCAGTTCGCCTCAACATACACTCCTCATATTCTGTGATATGATTTACTCTGAGGTGTTTGACAAGGTTAGTGATGTTGCCATATGTTACCATACATGCCAACCTGCCCGATTTTTCCGGGAGAATACTGAATTTCAGTGCCCTTCCCGAAAATCTCCCGGACCCACCATTCTCCCAAATTTCTCCCGATTTTCCACCCGGACAACAAAATTGAAAAACCATATCGCAGAATTCATAGAGGGCCCAGCCAATTCCAGTTTCCAACAATGGCGGCAGCTACTTAGTTTTAATAAAACTCTTATTTCTCTTTCTGTGTCGCAAAAAACTTTTAAACATATTTTCAGGTGAGAATGTAGCCGTGTAAACTTCAAATATCTGAGCCAACTGACACATTGTTTTCAAACCCCCGCGGTCTTTCGCTACTCGAGTTAAACATGATATATAAGTCACTTAGATAACTTAAAAATGTTATTGTTTGGCTTTTTCAGTGTTTTATTTGTTCG